TACTTGCTGTTGCTAAGAACACTATGAATGACCTTGTACTCCACCGAAGGAACTTGCTGTTCTCTATAAATAGAACTCGCTGTTGCTATGAACACTAAGCATTATTTTTTTTAACAGAACATGTTGAACAGCCCCACCGAAACAAAGAGATGACAGAACACCTCCGCAAACAAGTTTATCAATCTTTGTTGGCTAGAAGCAACAATGGTAAACTAGGCAAGAAGGACACTACCATTGTTGCCGAGCAATTTGGGCTTCGTATTCGGGCAGTTCAAAGGTTATGGAAAAGAGGTAAAACACAACTTGCAAACTCCGTTCCGGTTGATGTTTCTAGTCTAAAGAAGGGTAGAGTAGGCCTCAAGCAAATCCCTGTTGACTTAGAAGCATTGAGAAACATTCCTCTAAAGCAAAGAATGACTATAGAAGATGTGTGCAAGGCACTAAATTTGAGCAAATGGCAGATTCAAAGGTATTTGAAAAAAGGCTACCTTAGGCGCCACTCTAGTAGCATCAAACCCTATCTCACTAAAGCTAACAAGAGGGCTAGGTTACAGTGGTGTGTTGATATGGTTAACAGGGAGTTGCTTGATGATCCAAAGTTTAAGGAGTTGTATGACTTTGTTTTTATTGATGAGAAATGGTTTTACCTACATCAAAAAAATGAGAGATATTATTTGCTACCCAAAGAAGATGTACCCCATCGGACTTATAAGAACAAGAACTACATCCCTAGGCTCATGTTCTTGTGTGTTTGCGCTCGACCAAGGTTTAGGGATGGGGTTTGTACTTTTGATGGTAGGATTGGATGTTTCCCACTTGTTCATTTTGAACCGGCTATGAGAAGTAATGAGAGGACCGGCCCTGTTCGTGGAGACATGGTTATGAAGCCCATTACATCGATCACTAGAGATGTGATTAGGGATTTCATGATCAACCAAGTGTTGCCGGCCATTAGATCCAAATGGCCAAGAGAAGATGTGGGTAGACCAATCTTCATCCAACAAGACAATGCACCATCTCATTTGAAATTGGATGATCTGGAATTTTGTGCGGCCGCTAAGCTAGGGGGATTTGATATTTGCCTAATTTGTCAACCTCCAAACTCTCCGGATTTCAACATTCTTGACTTGGGTTTCTTTAGAGCAATACAAGCAATTCAATATAAGAAGGATGCAAAAACTATAGAGGCTTTAGTTCCAGCCGTCAAAGAGGTAATTTGCAATTCATGGAAGCAATTCAAATTGTTCACACATATTTCAATGTTTTTTTAACAACAAATTTTTTCATTCATTCATTTGTTGCACAATTGTTTTGTAGTCATTCATGGAGTACTCGCCACACCTTGCAAACCGGATGTTTCTAACACTACAAGGTGTCTTCATCGAAGCAATGAAAGTGAAAGGTTGCAACAAGTTTGAGATACCTCACATGAAAAAAGCAACACTAGAAAGAGAAGATAGGCTACCATCTTGTATCCCTTGTGATCCATCATTGCTACATGAAGCCGAGGCTACTCTTGCTGCATGAAAAATTTGTAATGATGCTTGTTAGCTTTTGTTGTAGAGACATCTTGCTTTCTAGTAATGTTGCATGAACTAAATCATTGCCGATTGTTGCATGAACTAAATCATCCTTTCTAAGTTATCTTACCGATGCTTTGGCGGCGGCGTTTGTCGGCAGCAAGCCCTTGTAGTGCTCCATGAAAAGCTTGCAGTTCACCTTGATGCGGCCGAGCATGGCGTCGATGGCGTAGTCCACGTGGACGAGACCACAGCTAGGGCATGGATAGAACCGAGAGTGCGCATGGTTCCACGCTTCGCAATCCTCATGGGCGAGATGGCACCGGCCGCATACAAACGCCCCTGGCGGCAAGGATTCCGGCACCATGTCCATGGAGTCTTGCAGCGCGACGACGGAGTTCTATGGCGGGTCAACGGAGTCCTCGGCGTTGAGCAGCAGCGGGTCGACGGAGTCCGCGTTGGTGAGCTCCTGCGAGTCCAGCCCGACCTCCTCCACGGCGACCTCCAGCCCGACGTCCTCCTGCGAGTCCAGCCCGACGTCCACCGCGGCGACCTCCTCCGACTCCGGCCAGACGTCCGCGGCGAGCATCACCCGTGCGCCGCCGTCCACCGCGCGGACGACGTCCACCGTGCCGTCGTCCACCGCGCCGGGCTCCATGGCGAAGCGCGCTGAGGGAGATGGCGAGCGTGCATGCTCCGCGGCGAGTTGTGCACGCCGACCCTAAACCCTAGCCAGCGGACTCCACGCGCGGCAAGCGAGTTGTGGACGGCGAGTCGCGAATAATTAAGGACGCGAGCCGAGGAGTGCCGAGGGAGGCGGGCGGGGCGATCGGACGGGCGGCGCGCGTGGGAGGCGAGTCAAGGAGACGCGATCGAGGCACGCGCGTGGACGAGGGAGGCAAGCGGATGGGCGGACGGGCGGCGCGCGTGGCCCAGGGGCAATCACGTCCAAAACCAAGTTCCAGCGCGTGGACGTCTTCTTTTGCCGCAAACCCGCTCGGCTCCAGAACGTCCTCTATTTGTGATACGGAGGGAGTACTTAAACAACATTAGAACACCAGAAGTACAATTAGAGAGTTTGTGGATCTAAGTGGCACCACGAGACAAGTTCTAAGACTACTATGCATATACCTCGTAATAATTTACCGGGGGCCGTCGTGTGGACCTGAAAGGTCGTGCGGGCCGTGTGCGTTGTCACCGGACGGAATCTTTCGATATTTAGAGCAGCGTCCCAAGTCTGGACACTAGTAGTTCCCGAATTGAAATGTGGGCCTAAATTGTTCAAATATGTAGTATTTTTCATATTGCAGGGCCCATTTAAATCACTTAGCTTTTTGCTGCAATGCAACTGGGGCGGGCTGCCCTGGCCTTCTCTGCCAGTCCAGTGGTGCTCTTGTGTTCCCGGCGACCGGCGTCGGTGGCCACCGGTGAGCGCAAGCGCCGAGGGTCCCGACGAAAGCCGTAAAGTGAGGCGAAGCATCGAAAACTTTCTGTTTCCCTTCTTTTTCCTCTCCGGTCAGGTGTATGTTGCTTTATCCTTCTCCTCATCCGCAAGCACCACACGCGCCGCCTCCTGCTCGATGGAATGCCAACCTCAACAGGCGCACACAAATTGCTTCGGAGGGCGAGTATGGCGTCGGCATCATCACCCCATGGCGCGCTGCTCCAGCACGCACTGTCCATCCTGCCACCGGACAATATGGCTTTGACCTGGACGCTTGCTCTCCTGCCTCTGCCGTGGCCTCTGGAACGGAAGCCTATCATCCTAAGGGTAACAAGGGCACGGAGGCAAGTTGTTTCCTCTGTTTTTGTTTCTTTTTTCATATATTGACCTAATTATTGTAGTCATCAATCTATTCCTGCCAGCATTACGATGAGCTAAGATGCATACTTGTCTCATGCGTTTGCAGAGGGCTAAATGGATTTGGTCTGCCTTTTAACATGTGGGAGTGGGAGTGTGGGAACAGTTTGATTTTTCCTTGAATGAAGTTTCGTCGTGCCTTCTTTGCCCCGATCCATTGTGTTGACTGCACCCTCCAAGTCTCCTTTATCTTTTTTTTATATATTTTTTTGTCATTATAATAATCTATAGAATAGAAGTATCCGCATCCGCCATTACATTTGGGGCGTTCAGCAAGTATACGTGACAGGGAAGAACTGCACTGCAGCTACTACCAAAAGCATCAGCAGTCTCTCTCCAATCTAGCTAAGCTGCAGCGCCTGCCTTCTGCAGCTTTGCATCCTGAACCCCAGAAGCTGAGTTTGGGAACATGGAGTAGGAGTAGCAGAGAAGCTGATCCAAGCTGGGATTCAAGGTACTTGCTCTGAAGTCTGAACTCCTACCAGCAGATTTTGTAAGTTTGTAAGTAATAGATGAAACTATGAAAGCAGACGACTTCATCTGTTCCTGCTTGCTTCTTCAGTAACCACATGCTGCTTTGTTCTGACTCTTCTCAGTGAGGGCCACACATACAGGTCAAAATTTGAACTGTTAATCAGCACAAGTGCCATACTGCAGTTGCTGCTGCTCTAGCCTTTTGGAAACATATTTAGCATCCTTAAGAAACCTCCTGCAGCCATTTGGAGACTTTTAATGTCTTGTGGAGCATTTTTTAAGGGTTAATGCCTTTTGAAAGTAGCCATCTGGGCTCATCTGCTCCATCACTTGGCACAAGATTGCTATGTTGTTCACTGTTTACAGGGCTAGTGAAATTCTGATTGCATTCAATTTAGTTACTTTTTCCCCAAATAGTTCAGTTAATTTTTAATGTGGCAGTCATATTCTATGGCAAACACGATTTTCAGGATCGAGAAGTTTTCCTGTGTGGTGCACGATAGGCGTAAGCCTTCACCACACTGTTCGTTTGTTCCTGATGTTCTCACTGGAGACCGACCTAAATTTAGACTTCTCAAGCTTTTGCTTCAGGTTGCTTGTAAGTCTTCTTGTAACACTCTTAACTTCTTCGTCTATTCCTGAAGTTCTCACTGGAGACTGACCTAACTTAGCTTTAGCTACACTTCCTTTGCACAATTAATCAGAAAGTACACTTTTCAATCATCAACTGCAAAGCTAATTGCAGCATATTATATTTTTTTATGTGGCAGGCAAGTATCGTCACTCCTTCGTTTTCCATTTGTGCTTTGACTGGATCATCCAGGAGTTGTTGGCATCTCTGTTCCTCATTCGCTTATATCCTAGAGAAAATATGTCAAAGCACTTGTTGTTAAGCAAGTATAGATGACAGGAAGTATTGCACTTGGAGCTACCAAAAGCCGCATGATTTTCCAGCTATATAGCAAAGTGTATCAGAAAAACAGACCATCTAGCTAAGCTGCACCTACCTTCTGTAGCTCTGCGTCATGAACAACAAGGTCTGATTTCAGCAGCTCAATGGAGCACAGTTGCTTGTATCCGCATCAAACCAGATAGTCAGCAAATATAATAGTTTATCCTGAGTGCAGCACGGGCAAACATTAAACATGGATCTTGTGACTGGGGCAATTAGTAACCTCGTTCCCAAGCTGGGGGAGCTGCTTAAAGAGGAATACAAGCTGCAGAAGGGTGTGAGGAAGCGAGTGGAGTATTTACAGATAGAGCTCGAGAGCATGAGTATTGTCCTCCACAAGGTGGCCCAGCTAATGCCGGACCAGCTCGATGAGCAGGTCAAGGCATGGGCCCGTGAAGTAAGGAAGGTGTCATATGACATGGAAGACATCCTTGACACCTTCCTGGTTTGTGTGGAGCGGCATGAGCCTGCTACCATGGACAGGTTCAAACGCCTCCTGGAGAAGATGGCCAAACTGTTCAACAAAACCAAGGCACGCCATAAAATCGCCACCGCCATCAAAGATATCAAAAAGCAGCTCCAGGAGGTGGCTGACCGGCGTGGCAGGTACATGGTTGGTGATATTATTGCTAAGTCTACTGTAACAATTGTTGATCCTCGCCTATCGGCTCTGTATAATGACGTGACAAAGCTTGTTGGTATCAACAAGGCAAGCGATGACCTCATATCTATGCTGTCACCCCAATGTGATGATGGGGCATACATGATGGACAAGGTGAAGAAAGTCTCTATTCTTGGACCTGGTGGATTGGGCAAGACCACTCTGGCCAAAGCAGTGTATGAGAAACTTAAAATAGGTTTTGGCTGCCGGGCCTTTGTTCCTGTTGGCCGGAATCCTGACATTAAGAAAGTTTTCAAGGACATTCTCATTGATCTTGACAAGCAACACTACACAACATGTTTCAATATGATGATACTAGATGAAAGGCAACTCATTGATGAGCTTCGAGGATTTCTCAAGAACAAAAGGTGCAAATCATCCCACCCAATGGTTTTATGTTTTTAGTGCTTTTTTTATTCCAGTAATTGTACAATTACTGCATAAATCTTGTTATGTTGTAGGTTCCAATGCAATTATCTTCATTATGTTACTTTGTGTGATATCCTCTACAATCATGCATCTTTGATATTCTTGTTTTGAGAAAAAAAATGTAGGTTGATTTGTTTGTTTCTGAAAAGTCTAGAAATTTTGAGTCAATTAAACTCAAGTGATGCTTTTTCTCTAGCATATTAAAACATTACGATGTTTTGTTGAATCGAATCAGCATTTGGATAGGCTCTTCATATAATTTCTAGTAGCAAGTACCTAATGCTCACATATATACATCATATAGGCCCATCTGTCCAAAGCTCAAACAGTCATAACACTACCCACATATATATCAGAAGTAATATTTGGCTAATTAAGATAAGCACAAAAGAGTGGATTGATTAATTCAAGTAACTATACTTTGTAACGAAATGATCCATTATTTCAAATATAATTATAGGTCCACATGGTGCTATGTGCATTGCACTCATGTAGATATTCCTTTATTGCTGATGTCAGGAAGTGGAGAGAAAGGAAAAATAAAAAATGTGGGTCACAGATCACATGATATGTAGATGAAGTTCACCAGCAACATAAAACCATCATTGCAGTACAATGGAAAAAGACCATAAACATTCTGAGTGTAGATTAGTCTATAACACAATTAAGTTATAGTACACTACAAAACAATTAAATTTTAAACTAAAGGCAGACATGAGCAACTGTTGTTTTCTTGATGGCATTATGAAGTATAAATCACTCCTCTTCTGCTCAGTTTGGAAAACTCCATCAGAAAATATACTATCTTTATATGTTTATAATTGATAATAACGATTTTATGACTTAACGATCCACTAATTGCTTCAGTGTTCAACATAGTTTTACTAAATCAGGGCTCTTTGCATTGTCATGCATAGGTACTTCATTGTTATTGATGACATATGGGAGACACAATCTTGGGAAACAATCAAGCTGGCTCTGATTGAGAATAATTGTGGAAGTAGAATAGTTATAACTACTCGTAAATTCAGAGTTGCCACGGAAGTCGGTGAAGTTTATAATATAAACCCGCTTTCAGATGATGAATCTAGAAAGTTGCTCTATTCAAGGATATTTGGAATTGAAGCTGATTGTCTTGGTAATTTACCAGATAAAGTGTCTGATAAGGTATTAAAAAGATGTGGTGGTGTACCATTAGCTATCGTCACAATGGCTAATTTGTTGGTGGGTAAACCAATTGAGGAATGGCCTGTTGTGCACAACTCTATTGCCTTTAGTAGCCATAAAGATAACCATCACATTGAGAGTACAATGAGAATATTGTCTTTTAGCTACTATGATTTGCCTTCTCATCTAAAGACATGCTTACTATATCTAAGTATGTTTCCAGATGATTCGGTTATCAGTAAAGATCCTTTGATATGGAAATGGATAGCAGAAGGTTTTGTTTGTAATGAAAAAGGAATTGGGTTATTTGAGCTTGGAGAGCAATATTTCAATGAACTCATAAATAGAAGCATGATCCAGGCTGTGGAATTAGAAGAACAAGAAGGCATCGTACAAGGTTGTCGAGTTCATGATATGGTGCTTGATCTCATTCGTTCATTGTCACATGAAGAGAACTTCCTCTGTATATTAGATGGATTAGATAGAGAAGAAACATTACCACAAAGCAGCGTACGCAGGCTATCCCACCAAAATAGAACTGTGGAACATAACCCTCAAGCTAGAAATACGAGCATGCCACAACTGAGGTCATTTGTTACCTGTTATTGTGCTATTGGCAAGATGATCCCACTTTTGAGCTTTCGAGTATTACGTGTGCTAGCTATTGAGTATTGCGAGTTTAAGGAAGGTTACCAACTTGAGCATCTTGGGAATTTAGTTCACTTAAGGTACCTTGGACTAATAGAGACAAACATCCGTGTGCTCCCGAAAGAAATAGGACATTTGAGGTTTTTGCAGATACTGCTGTTGAATGGAACGGGGATAGAAGAACTGCCATCAAGCCTCCGGTTGCTGCCACAATTGATGTGCCTACGTGCTGACTGGAAGACGAGAACACCAAATTGGATAGGGATGCTTACATCCCTGGAGGACCTATGGATATACCGTGGTGCCGACGACAGGTCTGCGAGGCGGTTTGTGAAGGAACTGGGCAGCTTAACAGGACTGCGAGTCCTCCGTGCTGGCATTGCTGTGTTGGATGAGAACATGGAGAGAGATTTGGTGAAGTCACTATGCAATCTGAGGAAGATCCAGTATCTACAACTAGAAATTATACTTCCAGGTATTGATGATATTGTGGATGCTTCACCCTGGATGAGTAAAGTGAGCTGGGAGGCTGAAGGCTTTGTCCTCCCTCGGCATCTCAGATGTCTGCTGCTAGGATGCATTGTCTTCTCAAGTCTGCCACCGTGGATTAATCCCTCCTGTCTTCCCAACCTATCACAATTGTGTGTGCATGTGGTTGACATGGATGAGCAGGACCTCAAAGTCATTGGTACAATGCCAGAGCTCCATGATCTCCTACTTCCAACAAGCTCCACGGTGACAATCAGTAACATTGCCGAAGGTGGGTATTTCAAGAAGCTGAGGTCCTGTTCGATGCTTTCTTCAATGGTCCAGTTCCTGCGAAATGAGGACTCCAGCGTTTTGTTTCATATGTGGAATGGGGAGGATGCTATGCCGTTTGGTACTAAAAATGATGGTGAAGGCAGCATAGCACCTACCATTATGCCATGCCTTGAATTTCTCGAATTCTTTTTCTTCGTCCAGACCATGAAGGATTGCAACGGTTACTGCAGCAGTATTGGTTTGGAATACCTCACCGCACTTAAGAAAGTCACTGTCAGAATTGGCTGCCAGGGTGCCTCTGTGGTGGAGGTGGAGGAAGCAGAGGCTGCACTGAGACGCGCTGCAGAGGTCCATCCCAACCACCCCACCCTCGAGCTAATCAGACATTTTGAGGACAAGATGGTCCTAGCATCTGATCAATAAGGAGTGGAGGCTATCCGGTGCTAGCAAGAGCTGGAATGGATATTTGCTGTTTCAGTTCCTCAAAAAACTCTGTTTGTGAGTACCATTCACCTCTGCTTCTGGAAACCATTCAACTCTGTCTTTGTATGTGGATCCACATGCTGTGACAGCAGAGTTTGCTGGCCCGTATCAGGGTGCTACAAATCATGGATGTTTGTCATACTAATTTTGTTTTTTTTACCATTTTAAAGTGTCTTGATTTGAATTCCATAATTACCATTTGGACAGATTACAGATGGTGAATTTAGATTTAAGTGGGTAAAATTTATTATTCTTTCGTTGAGAACTAGCTACTGATGATTATTGTTACATATTTCTCATACAAGTAGAAGGGCGGGCCTGGTGCAAGCGGTAGAGTCTTACCGCCTGTGACCAGAAGGTCCCGGATTCGAGTCGCGGTCTCCTCGCATTGCACAGGCGAGGGTAAGGCTTGCCACTAACACCCTTCCCCAGACCCCGCACAGCGTGGGAGCTCTCTGCACTGGGTACGCCCTTTTTTTTATTTCTCATACAAGTAGATCTTTTTTCTATTTCTGATGATAAACTTACCTAAACAGTGGCTAAACCTGCCTGCATCCCCTGGGAACTAATGTAGTTTACATTTACTGTTAAGTTTCTGCTTTGGCTGAATAGTTTATTCACCAATCTATGCATGGCTGTATAGTTTCTATCATCGGTTTGGGTGGTTCTGTCTAAACCACTTTGGCAAGAAAAATTGGCATGGCAACAAGATGAAGCACTCCAAATATACAGTATCCTTGCCCATGTATCGCAAGAATTTTGCAGGGAGAACCTTTTCAGCAACAGAGATGGATCTCACCATAAATATGAATGGTGGTACTGCCTCTAGCCATTGTAAAAAATTTAGCTATATAAGCCTGTTCATCTTCAAATTTATGGTGAGGTCTTTGTTATGGTGAGGTACTGCCTCTAGCCATTTTAAATTCTAAGCCTATATTCAACTTAATCTTCTTACCGGAAGATAAGAATTGGAGTTCTTCCTCAAGAATAGGAGAAGCCAAGCACGTTGCATTCGGCGATTTCTGGATAAAATCGAGTATTGTTTAGCTTTCTGAAAAGAAATTGTTGGATCATGGAATTTATACCAGATCCTCTGTTCAACATTCATTCATTCCAAGAGGTTGGGCCACTTCTCTTGCTTAATCATCTGAAGTATAGTTAGTTAGTAACAAAAGTGCGGGATTCCTGGGCTCCACCAGGAAGTCTCACCTGCAAAGCATCATCAGCCGTTGTGCTGATCTGTTCTTCCCGCTCCATTCCATTTCAAGAAATGATCAGGTCTAGAAAGTCGCCTTATTTTGTCCCATATTGTTAGGGTAGGTATCATCCGAAGCAAACACTATACTATATGCATTGGGCCATAGGATCCAAAAAGGACCTAAAAAACAAAGATATTTGTAGATCTCGTGGATCTTGTCCTTGATCATTTGGAGGACACAAGTCAAAGAAAGAGAATGGTTCGTCAAGATTGTACATCATCATCGTCAAGATTGAACAACACTAAAAAAAAAATTGATGTGTTGATGCGTCATCATCGTCCACAACCTCTTTTTTCTATTAACAACAACTGACAAAGATTGTACATTAGCACTGAAGGTTCTCAGTAACGAAAGATGTAGTAGGATATGTGCAAATAGAAGATAGTACAGGAGGGAATGTGACCGAGTCAAGAAACTACAGAAGATTCTGCAAGTATTCATTGGCGTCACTGCCTCCGATCCAGTGTCTTGTATATTAATGTTCTCTATGAAGTGTGAACCAGTCAAACTATTGTATGCTACACATTACATGTCCTTTTGTTTATACCATGAAGATCACATGCCAAATAGAAAGAAAAGGACGACAATGCAGAGATGCCACTATTTGGTTACAAAAATCAGGCACTGCATAGCATCAATTTAGGTATGGATATCTGTTGCTTGCTTGAGCTTCTTGTGCTGTGTGACAGTGCTGATGATGGTTTCCATGAACATTTCACCGGAGAAGCATTTTCCCTTTCCATGGTGGCCTTGTCATCATTCTAGTCTTGGTTTACTTCGTTTTTGCCCTTGTTTGCCCTGAAGAAAGCATAGCACCCAGTCCGCTTTCTGCGCCAAACAAAGAAGAGCTCTTTATGTCAGTGATGAATAGACTAGCAAGACCCTTTCATGAACTCAATCAGATATGCCCTAGTAGTTCTTAGTGCTAATGTGATGATTGAATTAGCAACAGCGGAATGAGACATAAAGCATTGCTGCAATGATTGGGCTTCATCAGGTGGCAATAAGTCAGCCTTGTGCTTTGCGTAACAGAAAGGGGGGCCAAAGTAGGCCACATGAACAGATAGGTCCCAAAAAGAGATGAATTGATCCAACGGACACTTACTCAAATGATGCTACAAAGATGCAGTTTTATATTAAAAAACTTAACTACCGTTGCAGGTGATTATCTGATCATCTTATTTCAGGAATAGGATCATCTGACTTGAAGAAGCAAAGTCACATAAGCGAAGTAATCATGATTTTTCATGATATTAAGCCAATCAGTAGCAGGAGGATGGGTCAGATCTCTCGCTACAGCGCTACGCTAAGCTGCTGTGTTAAAATCTAGCTAGTGAGCTCATAAGAAAATTTTATCAGGCAATGCCACGACTTCAAAAATGAATGCCCAGTTGTGGAATCTTCTAGTAAAACCATCAAGAATCTCTGGGATTAGAGGAGAAGACGACCATAGAAAGCATTTCATGTGAAGTCGTGCTCGTGCTCCCTTTTGGAGTTCATACCAAGAAAGAAGAAACCTGAGCAGCAGGAATTGACAGCAAAGCTAGATTGTGATGCAACAAGAATTGACTTCAAGCGACGACTCGATCTGCCGTGTTGACCGGTTTTTTTCTCCGTTCCATGCTTGCTGACTTCACAGGGAATCGTGGCATGCTTAGCAGCCTAAACCGTGCAGGGTTTTTTCACACCAGACGTACTCAGTGACAAAATAGATGGCTGTGCTTTGATCCAGTCTATTACTACCATCTCCATCCTTGGAACCTTATAGGTGGTTCAGTGTGTACCTCTGACTTCAGTAGCTGGCATTTTCCAAAATTGTGTTCTTTGTTTTGTTTTGTTTTTTAAACTAACCTACAAATGCACGTTCTAGAAGACTACTAGAAGTCTAGAACAGCTGCTTGTCTCCTCCATTCCGTTGAAAAAAGTTTGTTTGCTCCATTTTTTTTATAGAAAATGAATTTCTTCTAGAACAGATTTTTGTCTCTTGCATCTGTTGAAAAAAGTTCCTTTATCTTTATCTCTCTCTATCTTTAATGTCCAAACCAAAATTTTCTCTCCCTTTTCTGCTTCTCAAGGAAAACTGAACAATAGGGAGATTGAATTATGCTGGTTCCTTCCTGAACTAAAATTGTTCAAATGGCATTTTTATATTGAAACTTATTTCTTTCCCAAGGATCTAAGAACCACCGAAACAAATTTGTACTGTATATTTTTCAATAAAAAACGAGATGAATTTCTAAAGAAATAACAAAAAGATCTGCAAAACTACCTGATGTACTGCTAAAAATTCTTCATCAGTTCAATAAAACATGAACTGAACGAATTAAGAAGGAAAGGCAAGGGAGTTAGTTACCTGCTCCAGCTCCTGGCCGGCGCTCTGGGATTGGCACCGCCATTGACGACATTCCTGACGCTGGCGGCGCTGCTGTTGCTGTTGCTGCTGCTGGTCCGGCTGCTGCTCCCGGCCTCGCTGAACTCGCTCTTTGTCCACCACTCCTCCTCCTGCTGCGCTGCCGCCGCGGTCGCCACCGCCACCGCCTCCTCCTTCTTCTTCCCCTGCTTCTTCTCCCTCTTCTTCTTCTTGCCGTCCTTGGCGGCGTCGGGCTTGGGCGAGACCTTCTTCTTCTTGCCGCCGATGGAGAGCGGGAGGAAGAGCTTGATGAGCAGGCCGGTGTCGAGGCTGACGCTGCGCTCCATGCTCCGGCTCCGCTGCTTCCGCATCACCGTCCTCTGCGTCCTCCCCTGCTTCTTCTTGCCCCTGGAGCAGCCGCCGCCGCCGTCCTCGGCGTCCGCCGTGGCCGCGACGGCGGGCTCGTCCTTCTTCTCCTGCGCACCCGCGGGGACAGCGCGGCTCGTGGGGCGCCCCCCGGCGGTGCTAGCCGGCGGTGGATGAGGAGGAGAGGGAGGATCGCGGGGCGGGGACGGGTGGTGGTGCTCGACGATGTCGCGGAGCGAGAGCTCGTAGGCGGACTCGGGGAGTCCCCGGACGAGGTCGAGCATCTCGCGGCGGTACCCCGCGATGGCCTGCGCCCGCGACGGCGAGCTGCCCGCCGACGCCGGGTACTGCCGGTGGAGCTGGTGGTGGTGGTGCTCGGGGCGGCTCGCCCACAGCTGCGGCGACGGCGTGCCCGACCCCGAGCCGCCGGAGCTGTAGTAGTCCGGGTCCGGCGAGGCCTGCAGAGACGCCTGCAGCCACCGCGCCTCCTCGTCGTCCCCGTACCGCGGCGCCGCCATCGGGTGGTTTGCAGGAGGCCGCGGCGGCAGCCCCCCGCGCGCCGGCGACGGCGAGCCCGGGAAGCTGAACTCCGGCCGCCGATGCATGGCCTGGCCAGCCAAGGAGTCGATCGGTCGGTCCCTGTACAGAGCAGCTGCTGTGCAGACTGCAGAGACAGAGAGATGTGTGTCCCGCGCGTGGGGAGGGGAAGGTGGAGGCGGGGGAGACGGTTGGGTAATAACGGCGGCGTCCCGTCGAGCCGCACCCGCGCGCACCGCAACCAGGGGAGAGGAGGGTGGTGAGGTGAGCGGAAAGCGATGGCGGGCGCCGGGCGCGGGCGGGGTGGGTGCCGGAGTCGTCGCGGGGATTTAAAACCTGCGCTGATTTTCGGCGGCTTTAAATTCGCGTTTCTGGCTTCAGAGCACGGCACGACGTGGCGGCTTTTTATTAGGCCTCGTTTAGATTCCAAAAATTTTTACGCAGTATCTGTTACATCGAATCTCGGTACATATATGGAGTACTAAATGTAGATGAAAAAAAACTAATTACATAGTTAGGTGAGAAATCACGAGACGAAACTTTTGAACCTAATTAGTCCATAATTAGACACTAATTGACAAATACAAATGAAAATGCTATAGTAACTAAAATCTAAAAAATTTTAGATCTAAACGGGCCTTATTATATCAATTTTCGGGGGCAGTAATAAATGAAGACAGGGCACGGTTCACACTTTACACCGTGGGAGTGAGTGGGCAGGGGTTAAAGGGCCCCACTCCTGTGTTGTTGGTGGGAGGTAGTGATCCAGGTGCCACGTGTTGGGCACAGAATAATCGGAATGCCAAGAATTCAGAAACTCCTGCTTGTTTTACTTTTACACGTTGGTGAAAAGAAGACGCAAGTGACTGCACCGTATAATATATATATATATATATATATATAAGGCTATTCTGCAGCTGGCCATATAATAACTTATTTTATGACCATCTTGATTTACGATAATATTTCTATCAATTTACGATAACATGAATATGCATTTACGATACTCGTGTAACTACAACTCACGGTGATATTTACAATAATATTAGAGTAAATCACTTAGTAAGGAGTTACTATAATCTTGTAAATTAGCATGGTAATTATCATAACTCAAATGTAGCTATAGAAAATAAGTGTGTGTTATATATATATATATATATATATATATATATATATATATATATATATATATATCTATCTATATATATATATATATATATATATATATATATATATATATGTGTGTGAGACGTGTTACACAACGGATTATCAATCAAGTGTTTAAAGGGCCAGGAGTAGCACTCACGGTAGATTTTAGCCCGATCGCATGCATATATGCACACTGGGTGTAACTAGGGATGATGGAAACGGGTGCCTGGAGATCCGAATTATCCGATCGGTTTCGTATCCGCTAAAACGTGTGATATGGATATCCCTATTCGCATCGGTTTCTAATGTGGATGTTAAATGGATGTATCTGAATTCGATTTTCGTTATTTTACTCTATCCGATTCTAGATCCATATTATTCGACAAAAATATATAGAATATCCGACATTTATCCGTATCCGCGAAGAACAAGGTGTAATGAATCTATTTAAAAGTTTTTGTTTTCATGGCTAGTGACTAATTATTTATAATTGGAATATTTTTACTGACGCATTGGAACTATTTAGTAGTGCATCTATACGTAACCTTTAATACTAATTTAATTATGTTAATTATACATAAAGATTAAAATAATTTTAGTATTTTTCTAATTTATTTTAAAGTTAATATATTTGTTGTTGCAAATTATTTTATATTAATTTTTGCTGACGTAAATTACTTTATATAATTTATGGTTTCATGATAAATATTATATAAATAATAATTGATTAACCAATATATTGATATATTAATTTAATTGATAAATATTAGATCTTTGTTGAATTGAGTAAATATTCAAATAAAAATCCGAATCCGAGACATTTGTTTTGCATTCGTATTCGATAAGATTTGTATCCGTATTCGAATCCAAATTAAAATGTGGTAGAGGTGACATCTCGATCCGATTGCATGCAATCCGATCCGTTTCCATCCCTAGGTGTGTTGGGTTTGCTGCCGAGCAATCTTACCGGGCCATCAAATTTGGTTGCCTAAGGGCAGTCCCAATGCTAGAAACTATGTGTAGTTTCTATCTTTATTAATTTATGTAGACATTATATATAGAAACTATGGTCCCAATTGATAGTTCCCAAATTCATCAAATCATTCTCTCTCCATCCTCTACCAATCACATATGGTTCTCGTGTAGACATAGTTCTTATCTAAGAAACCATTTCCTTATCTTTCTTCTTTATTAGAGTGCCACATCATCTTTTTCTTAGTTGGCGCCATAATTAATGAAGATAGAAAACATCTGGTTTCTTGGTTGGGAGTGCCCTATTGGCCAGGGCCGTTGCGTGGCAGACAAGCATACTATATTACGAGTTTTTAATCAAAATAAAGGGCCACTAGATCTTGAGGTTGACAAAGTTGATATAATAGTCTCGTTACAGGAGTGTCCACTATCGCTAAATGAAAAGCATAATAAATTCCTAAAAAAACTAAAAAAATTACAAGCACCATAAAAGGTCAAAGAACATGAACACCGATAAGTGCTACCAAAATAGTTGAAGTTCTTCTACTTATCTCTGATGCAACTCAACAAAACTTTAATAGCATAACTGTGTATATAATACTATGTTATAAATATTTTGACAATTTTTTAGGTATACATAGTTCCTTTTAGTGCAATGAAAGTTCCAGCATTTTATCTATAGAAATTAAATAAAAATTTCTATATAACCCATGACATAATGACGGCCGCGACTATATAACTCCTTGGTCAACTATATGAAATTAGGTGTTGTAGTACTTTAAATATCTAATGATGTTCAAATAACTCCAAAATTTGTTTTGCAGTGCTACTTCCAGTTCAAATGATCCAAAGATTGTTTGGCAGTGTTACACACTTTAAGAGCTACAATATACTTGGTTTTATGGTTGATAGATTTATATAGTCAACAATCAAAGAGTAACATAGACTTATCTTTTTTTTTAAAAAAAAGTTCACGAAACATAGTATATTTATCCAAAAGGACTAGGTAAATTCCACTGATTGTATTGTATGACGTCGATGCACCACGTGTAGCTTGAGCAAATCTTGTGAAAACGGAGATAGTGTACCTTTGCGTGTTTTACCTAATGACTTTATGTTGGTGGATGATAGTGATCAAAATGCCAAAAAATTCGGAAACTCAGGTAGGTATGGCATGTCATTCAGTGGGACAAGTGTTGTATCATTCTTCATTGTATATATCGTACTTAGTGTCTTTGTTTTAAAAGGTTGAGGTGGACAGTAGGAATGTAGGGAGAGGGGCAGCTTCGACAGGAGGATTCTCGACACCAATACAGTGTTTTTCTCTGATAATAAAACAGCATCAGCTGGTTTATCAGCCACAAAAAAACATCAACCGAATAGGGTCTCCCGGGCCTCTTTTGCCCAACTCAAGTGATGAACGATTATCGGCTGTACGACATGAGTTATGTAACGTTAATATAATTGTTAGCATGAGCTATCTCATTGTTTTGTGTTGTGTGCGTCTTTAGAGGCCATGCGTTGCATAATAAACAATGTCGAATACTCTCTTTTTCTAGAAAATATGATCGAAATTCTAGCATAGTGTCAAGTCAAAGGTCTAAAGTTTAACTAAATTTATGTAAAAATACTGGTATTTATCGTATTAAATAAGTATCTTTTGATCATATATGTTTTCAGAGTATATTTACTTGGAGTCATATATGTTAATAGTATTTTCTATAAATTCGATTAAATTTAAAATAGTTTGATTTTTTTGGTAAACCTAAAATTCTATGTAGGACAGAGGTAGTAGAAAGATGCTCAGTCCACCTATCTATTCGAGAAAAAGAACCTCGTAACTCAACGTAGAAGGTTCGTAGTAGAAAAACATCCCAATATGTTGTCCTAATTTAACCATGCATTTTAATATTTTATATATTTATTAGCAAATGACAAAAAGACCGTATCCTTGTCCAAAAGGACAACCGGACAAGAGAGATAAATGCATACAGTACGCATATGCCAATGATTGAGCCACGTGCACGTGTGTCATCTAAGGGTGTTTGGATTCAGGGACTAAAGTTTAGGAGGTGTCACATCAGATATCATATCTATTGTCACATCGGGTGTTCGGATATTAATAATAAAACTAATTACAGAAACCGTGACTAATTCGTGAGACGAATCTATTAAGTCTAATTAATCTATCATTAACACATTTTTACTGTAGCACAATATTATCAAATTATGAACTAATTATGCTTAATAAATTCGTCTCATAAATTAGTCTCAATCTTTATAATTAGTTTTATAATTAGTCTATATTTAATACTTCAAATAGTGTCAAACATGTTTATGGTAATCGATGTGAAGGGACTAAATTTTAGGAGGTGGAAGCAAACACCCCCTGAGTTTGGACAAATAAATCTTGCAAACGTGTACGTAGAGTGCCTTGTGTGTCTGGTTCTCTGGAGTTTCTATCAACTAGAACAACCCAATTTCTAATGTCCCGAGACGACAGGCCGACATCTACTTGAAATCGAAATCTTCCTTGAACAAACTTTGAATTTTTTACTGCAACTGTCATTTTTTGCATCGCTATCCCACACAGATGTATGTATGTGTGTGTTTGATGGAGAGGGGAGGATGAGCAAGAGGACAGCAAAAGTCCTGGGCTTCTAGATGAAGAAATGAGCGTGGGTTATGCAGGTGGTTGAGGTGCGGCGCCACATGCCTGGCCGCCACACGCACTCTAGAACGGAACGGGCTTTTGAAAAACAAGGCACCGGTTTCCTGTTGGGGCGGACAGATTTCCCTTTCCGGCGGATTCTAGCTGGCTCGCTTTTCTTAGCTGAGCTTTCAAGTTTCAATTTACACCGATTTTGAGATGGTTTTGCTGTGCTAAAATTACTGCTACTTTATATTAAGAAAATATTACAGTTTGTGTTGTGTGTGGCGCCGACGA